ATCCTAATCAGCACTTAAAAGTCCCAAAGTATATGACCCAAGGTTCCCAGTTAATGGAGAGCTCTGCCTCAGCCCAGCTTCCTACCCAGCTGCAAAGGCAAAGTCAAAACTTCTTGTTGAAGCTGTTAAAAAAAATTAAAAGGTTATGCCAGTACATTGTGTCTCACAGTGGAGGTAAATTTATGTAGTTACAGCTCAACCAGTGCTTTATGAGATGCAGAGTGTAGTCTGTGTGTCAGAAAGCTCTTTTAGTAGTTAGTGGGGTGAATTCAAGTCATTAAAAAAAAAGATTTTCTGTGTCTTTTCACCAAATAGCACATTGCTTTATCTCCCCGTGCTGTAAAAAGCATCTGAAGGTGAAATTCTGAAAGGAGAATTTTCATTGTGTGTGTGTTGTTAGATGACAAGCTAGTTCCTTAAATTTTTATTCCTGAGCTACAGACAATGCTGCCTTTGAATTGAGTTGTGTCTTTGGGCAGTTCCCAAATATTTCTGTTCTCTGGGCAGCTGCAGATTCCTTGGGGCTGGGGAAGGAATGTGAATTTGGGCAGAGACAGCTGCTCCCCTGCCCTGCAGYGAGGGTGACACGTGGAGGTGCCCAGGAAATGCAAGGTGACGGGAATATTGGGAATATTTAGAGAGTTCTTTGCCTTTTTTTTTGCTCAGTTTGAAAGCACRAGCTCTGTGTGTGCCCTGCTGTTTGCTGGGGACTCCTGAGTGCAAACTTAACACATTCCTATTTTAGAAAACAGGAAGAGACCCAGCAGAAAATCCTCTGCCTGTCCTATTTCTGGGTGTTAAGGCAAAGATGCATTCCTCAGGTTTTTAGTTCYGCAATTTCTGATGCCCTGACAAGCCACTCTTCAAGAACTGAGGAAAAAATAAATGTCTGAATCACAGCCACAAGTCAGTGGGAATGCAAATTCTGGGTTTATCTTGATYCACTATCTGGCAAGACTTAATTAAGCTGTGTTGTGGAGCCACATCCATCACCCAAAATAAAAGCAGCGCTCAGCAGTCGRGGTGTTTGCTGAYRTGGTTTGTCTGGTGTCTCTCAGAGRTGGGTCCTGTGCTCTAAAAGTGGGGAAAAGGGAAACCAGGGAACAGGGAAGAGGCCCAGAATGTGTGCGAGCAACAAGGGGAATGCAGCCTTGACAAAGCTTTGCCTGGTGGGTTTTTGTGAGGGGTCAGATTTTTRTGAAAGAGCAGCTAAAGAAAGCCTGGAATAACGATAAAGTCCAAAAGGCTTTAGTGGTGTCAGAGCTGGATATGAGTGAAAAGCTCCTTGTGAGCTGGCAGGGTGATTTAAAATGTGGAAAATCCTCTCCAAGTTTGGGAGATGGGAATGGAAAACCGAAAGGSCACGGTGGCCAGAAGTAATATGAGAACATGAAAATGTTTGTAGTTTTTAAAGATGTTTTTTCAAGGGTGTGGTGGATGGCTCCAGGGAGCTGGGAGAAGCTTGGGTGGGGCTAAGACACCTGGTTTTACAGGTCAGAATAAACCTTGTTAAAAGCAGGGTTCAGTGGGGATCTTTCATGGCTGGGAAATGATGAAACTGAGAGAACAAGACACCTGAAACACCAAGGCTGTCCTTTGGAAATGAAGCACATCAATGGTGTAAAGTGTGAGCGATGCCACTGAGGTATCRGCAGGTGAGGAGCAAACAAGGACATGATTTCAAGCAGGGAGTTCTTTGAAAAGGAGCAGGAAAAGCTCTGTCTTATCAACAAAAATGCAAAATCCATTTATCACAGCAGTGAATGCTCTGTTTTGTCTCCTGCTCTGGTTCTGCCCCTCAGGTTGCCGGGTCCGGCGGGGCTGGGCTGTGGCAGATAAAGGTGCTGCAGCTGTCAGCGGGGAATGGGGAGGTCCGGGGGTGTAGCTGGGCTGAAAACCTCGCTCCCTGTACCCCAACGAGCTTTCCTGTGCCCCCCGATTTGTGTAAAAACCCCCGGCAGCTCTGACTGGGCAGAGGCGGTGAATTGTGCGGGGCAGGAGGTGCCGATAGTAAAGGAGAGGAGACGGCACAACGCGGGCGTTCATTTCTGTCTCCTCTCCTGACACGCTGCTCTCCGCGGCCAGGGCGGGTTTTTTTGATTTAAAGAAAAAAGGGTTTTTCTGGCTGCGGAGCCGCGGTGGGTTCGCTCCGTGCGCACCGGCGGGAGCGGCTCCCGATCCTGATCCCGTCCCGATCCCCGTCCTGATCCCGATCCCTGCCCCGATCCCGATCCCTGCCCCGATCCCGATCCCTGTTCCAATCCCGATCCTGATCCCTGTCCCGATCCCGTCCCGATCCCGATTCCTGTCCCCATTCCAATCCCTGTCCCGATCCCTGCGCTGTTCCCTGCCCCGATCCCGTCCCGATCCCGATCCCTGCACTGTTCCCTGTCCCGATCCCATCCCGATCCCGATCCCTGCGCTGTTCCCTGTCCCGCTCCCGTCCCGATCCCGTCCCGGCGGGGATTCCCTCGCAGCGGGGGCAGCCGGGGGCCGGCCCGGTCTCACATGACGGCGGGGGCGGGTCGGGCCCGGCGCTCCGGGGCTGCTCCAGCGGCGGCTGCGCTCGCCTTCCCGGGACAGAGCGGACAGAGCGCCCCGGACACTGCCGACA